CCCCTTCCCAAAATATGACCTGTTAGGTTTCTCGAGTAGACCCAATTATTTCTGTTGGGTTGTGCTTGACAAGCCGAGTCGAACCTGCCTTTCTCTTATTTCATGGCCTAAATAACGTCGACAGGGGTGCGAAACATCTACAATTAGTTACCAGTTTTTTGGAATAACGTTGGTGGTAATACATCAGTTTATTCCAAATCTTGACACTGATGAACATAATGTACTAGTTTTTAGGAACGTGTCAGAATAAAATGGCCCGTGTCTGTTCGTAATATTAAAGGAGCAAGGTTTTCTTTTTGTCTTTACTCTTAAGTGTGGAATTTAAGCTAAATTAGGCCCAGGTTTGAAACAAAGATAAGCGAAATTAACATTTTTGGTAGTGAGGTTAAGGGTGGAGCTTTTTTTTGGTGGGGGGTAGGGGGGGGGTAGGGTCACGCTTTTTCTCTTCGTTCATTAAGTCACCGTGGGAGGTTGGCAGGTGCTCTGGTGTGGTTTGCTCCCTTTTTACTATCCAACATATATCGCCATTATGATTATCTGCTCTCCTCCTTCTCTTCCTTGTCTGTAAGGCTATGTCACTCTCCAGTTAATACGTCTTCTGACTTTCGCCGCTTAAATGGCCTGTAGTAAAGAACGCGCCGAAAAAATTCATGTGCCGATCTGTCGACCGTGGATTGATGAAGCAAGCACAAACAGATAAACAAAAAAACTCCCAAACAAACAAACAATTAACAAATTAACGAACGAACGAACGAACAACGAACGAACGAACGAACGAACGAACGAACGAACGAGCGGCTTGAGAAACGAACCAAAAAACGAAACAAAACGTAACAACCCCGCCCCCTCCCTGAAGAAAAGGCAGAAAATAAAATACCAGAGCTATCAACACAAGCCACAATAAAAAAATAATTAATCGTAACAAACGAAAATAATCAATATAAAGTAGGTTGAGATGTGTCTTTGGAACGATCTAGTTATGTTAAGAAGGGCATAAAATTCGGGCGAGTTAAAAAAAACAACCCAAAACCCCTGTCAACAAAATAATTTAATCATGAACTAACTAAAGGAGATTCTTACAATTATTGTCAACACCAGCCGTGCATTCCCACGACTAATCAGCAACCTACATCTCTTGTTAGAGTTCAGTTCAGTTCAGCCTTTGCGAATTTTCTTCTTGTTCTTGTTCTTGTTCTTGTTCTTGTTCTTGTTCTTTTTCTTCTTCTTCTTCTTCTTCTTCTTCTT